GCGACGTCCGAGCTCAGGGACGTTCGACGTACGGCGATACGGGGCCCGCGGCGATGGAAGAACTGATGATAGCAAGGTGTAAAATTAATATTTTAATCTTATTAACAAATTAATGTCTCCATTCCTTCCGCAGTATGCAGTAAATTACCAAATTAATCCTCGCTTATTCAAAGGACAAAACAAGAATAATAAGCTTTTCCCACCAAAGAACAAAATTCAAATTTGTAACTGAAATTAAAACACGTTCTTGTAAAGCTATCTAATAGCTCAAACTCCATTAATTAGTCCACGGCCTCGTGCTAATATTTCTTTAATTTTGATTTAGGCTTTTATGGATACATGGACAGCAGCATGCTCATCCAGCGGTGTGGCTACGGTGCTAATTCCTAAAGGGACTTATCTCACTGGTCCTGTGAAATTCCACGGCCCTTGTACCAATGTTCGTTCTATAACAGTCCAAATGCAGGTAAAATATATATATGGCCGCGCAGTTATTTAATTAACAGAGGAGATGTATGTATATTCTTCAAAACTATATATTTATGATCGGGTGATATTTTAATCGGATGTAGATGACATGGTTTTGATATATGTACAGGGATATGTGAAGGCTTCGACGGATTTGAATCGGTACGTGTTGGGAGACGATTGGTTCGAGTTCGCTTGGGTCGATAGGCTGACGCTGACCGGAGGAGGGACGTTCGACGGGCAGGGAGCGGCCTCATGGCCTTTTAACAAGTGTCCTCAGAACAAGAACTGCAAAGTCCTTCCCACTGTGAGCTCCTCATCTTTGATGTCCTCTAGTGTTTATCAGAGTGAAAATATACAGCTTTGACATGCCCGAGACCGAATTGACTCAGATGAGGCTGGAAATATATGCAAGTCCTACTACAATCCAAGCAAGGTCAAATGAGTATATATAATTGTCAACTAGGCCTTTCTGTTCTTTTCAGTTACTTTTTGCTTATTGTTATGGTTAGGGTCAGGGCTATTGTAACTAAGCAGTATTAGAGAGAACAAATTTTCAAATCTATCATTTAATGGACAGTTATATATGATTTGTCAAGTGGAAATTAGAAGGATTCATAGGGGATATGGTGTTAACTACAACATTACATTAACCATCTAATTAGTAAAATTGGATGGCTATATGATTTAAGAAATAAAGTTCTCTCTAATGACAGTGGAGACTACTACGTAGAGTGTTATGACGCAACCTGAAAGCAAATTCAGATTTTCTAGAGATTTATGTGCTTTTTCTCCTCGCCTTATAATCTCAGCAATATATAATGCTAACCGTGTAAGTTGCAACTCAGTCGGTGAAGTTTGTGACGACCACAAACACTGTAGTGAAAGGGATAACATCAGTAAACAGCAAGTTCTTCCACATAGCTCTGGTCGGATGTGAGAACTTCTGGGGCGGCAATATCAGGATTAGTGCCCCTTTTGATAGCCCCAACACCGACGGCATCCACATTGACCGTTGCACTGGAGTCACGTTATACTCTTCTGTGATCGGTACAGGCGATGATTGCATCTCTGTTGGACATGGCAACTCTCAATTACTCATTAGTGGGATCACCTGTGGACCAGGACATGGTATCAGGTAAGCCTAATGGTATCAGGTTCTGTTTGGTCACGAGTAGTTCGAACATTTTTGAGAAAATTAAAGTAGGAGAGGTTGAAGTTACTATTTTTTTTTTTTTTGCGAAAAAAAAATACAGAAACCTCTTGAATTTTGGAGGGTTCTCCATAATCTTTTTGAATTACGAAAGGCTCTTTTGAACTTTCAAAATTATACTCAATCTTTTTGTTAGTATATAAAATTATGACCTTTAACCCTCACCATAACTTCAGAGTTTTTGTGAAGTGATAGAGTTCTTAATTTAAAGATAATACTAGAAAAATGAAGCTCCGTGGGTCCAGATTTCGATCTACAAGAGGGCCCTCAATCAGAAGTATGTTAACATATATATCATAACCCTCAATCTTCACTACAACTTACGAGTTTTGTTATAGTGTCAATGACTTTAAAAACTTTTGAGCTATTAGAATTCTCACTCACAAATGGTGTAACAGGTTGATTATTAGAAAGTCTAAATTATCACTGTAATTACACGAAAAGGATAAGATAGAAGTTATATTTAGCCCATAGGGATAACATTTTCCGAAATCCCCAGGGGAGGCCTGAAAAGTTCCCCCTCTATACTATCATCATACACTTCCAGTGCCTGTTCTTTGGCTGATGTTGTGATTAAAGTCGTGTTACACTATGTTTTATGATTATGTTTGACTTCATGTGTTTTTTTTACAGTGTTGGTAGCTTGGGGAGGTATATTGACGAGAGAGACGTTCGAGGACTCATCATCAGAGACTGCACACTTGAGGGCACAATGTTCGGAGTGCGGATCAAGACATGGCAAAATTCTCCGGGGATAACTTCAGCCTCCAACTTGACATTTCAAAACATTGTCATGAAAAATGTAGGCAATCCAATCTACATTGACCAAATGTACTGCCCATATTCCTCTTGCTCTAACAAAGTAAGTTTTTTTTTTTAATATTCATCCGAGAAGTACCATTGATTCGTTGAGGACAACACTGAATAATTAGTGAAATTAAATTCATGTAGTCGCCGTCGAAAGTCAAGATCAGCGATATATTCTTTAAGAACATTAGAGGGACATCGACGACTCCCACTGCAGTGACACTCAAATGCAGCACAGGAATTCCTTGTCAGAATGTAAACCTTCAAGATGTGCATCTTCGATATGTAGGGCGAGAGCCTTCAAGTTCAACGTGCTTGAATGTCAGAGCGTCATATACCGGGATGCAGATACCACCACCTTGCCAGTAGTCATTGCCGGTGGATTATTAGGGTGAATTGGTCACAATTCTGTCGTGAATTTGAGCGAGGTAGTGTTTTTTTCGGAGGGTAGATGGATTGTAGGTTTCATTGTATAATGATGTATGAAGAGTTGGGTTTTATTTGAAGGTCCCCTCTCGTGTTGTAATTTTGTAAAAGATAATATTTGATGGTTATGAAATAATCTTTCCACTTTGTATGACTCGAAGAGGTGGGTTTTAATTGAGGGGGTCTCCTCTCTTGTGTCATAACTATATTGGATCTGAGACGCGAGCCTGAGGGGGGTGAATAAGGTTGCTATTATTTTTCACTAAAACTCGAAAAATATGCAACAAAAGATATCAAATAAAAACAATAAGCTAAATAACAATCACCAAAAGCAACCAAAGAACACAAGAGATTTTATGGTGGTCCGGATAAAAATAATAATACGTTAACTCCTCCTTCTTTTGAAGGTGCTTCCTCACTACGTCAAGAGTTCACCTGAATCATAAACCTGATTTAGTAGGCTTGCAAAGAGGCATCCTGGTATTTACCTGAAACCGACCATCTAATCTAATTCCCACAATGAATAATTCTTAGCCCTAGCCAGTCTCAACCCTCAATTCTGAAAGTACCCTGGGGGGGAGGGTGAATAGGGTATTTGCTAATTTAATCCGATATTGATACCAAATTAAAACTTATTAACTAATATATCCTAACAATATAATAAACAATTGAGATATGCAAGGATATGTAATTAAACATGAACACAAGATATAATAGAGATAGTGCGTAAATGACAAACGCAAACACAAAGCAAATAATCACGGAGTTTGGTCGACCCACAACCTACGTCTCCGCTCCTCATCCTCGAGGAGAATCTCCACTATCTCAAAAATAACCACACAATCGGTTTTCAACGCTCACCGATAACGTTTACAATCTCACACAATTGTCAATATACAACACACTCCTCTAAGTGTTGGCCTAGCCCGTGTCACCTTCCTCAAGTGCTTAGAATTATAACCTCTCCCTAGGATTTACAACCAATGTCACAACTCCTCTTGGAATTGACCCCGTCTCTCACCAACCACTGCTCTAAGTGTCATTGTGTATTATAATGTGTTCTCTCAACAATCAAGCACAAGTAAATAATTTGTTCTCTATTACAAAAATGAGAACTAAGTTAGATGTAAAGACAGCTTTTCTATACGAAAATTTAGATAAGGAGATCTACATGATACAACTTTTGGGGTTCAAAGCTGCAGTAACAGAAGAATTGGTTTATAAGCTGAAGAAGTCTCTTTATGGTTTGAAGCAATCACCGAGACAGTGGTATAAGAGATTTGACAGCTTCATGATTGGATATGGGTACACGAGGAGCCCATATGACCCATGTGTTTACATGCACAAGCTACAGAATGGTGAGCACATATATTTACTTTTATATGTTGACGATATGCTTATTGCTTCCAGGAATTCTTTGGCTATTCGAAAGTTGAAAGAGAAGCTGTCATCCGAGTTTGAGATGAAGGATCTTAGAGAAGCAAAGAAGATATTGGGTATGAAGATCGAGAGAGACAGTGTGAAGGGGACATTGAAGCTTACACAGAAGAGCTATTTGCAGAAGATGTTAAAGAAATTCAGCTTTGATGACAATGCAAAAGTAGTTAGCACACCATTGGCTCCCCACTTCAAGCTTTTAGCATTGATGTCACCTGTTTTAGTTGAGGATAGAGATTATATGTCGAAGATCTCATATGCCAGTGCAGTAGGTAGCTTGATGTATGTGATGGTGTGTACGAGGCCAGATTTATCACAGGCTGTGAGCCTGGTATCGAGATACATGCACGACCCCGAGAAGGGTCATTGGGAGGCCGTAAAGTAGATTCTACAGAATGTTAGAGGCACCATGGATGTTAGTTTGGTATTCCATAAGGATGAAAAGAATGGGCATGATTGTATTGGTTACGTGGATTCAGATTATGCTGGAGATCTTGACAAGCGCCGGTCTACTTCAGGTTATGTGTTTACATTGGCAGGTGTACCGGTATGTTGCCGATGTACACTTCAGTCCACAGTGGCTCTCTCTACTACAGAGACAGAGTATATGGCGGTGACTGAAGCTGTTAAGGAGGCTTTGTGGTTGCAGGGATTATTGGATGACTTGGGGATCGCACAGGGGACCATTTGGTTATTTTGTGATAGCATGTCGGCTATCTATTTGGCAAAGAACCAGGTTTATCATGCACGCACGAAGTACATCGATGTCAGATTCCATTTTGTTCATGATGTTTTGGATGATGAAGACGTCATATTGGAGAAGGTCCACACGAATGAAAATCTTGCAGATATATTGACCAAAGTTGTTTCAAGAGTGAAATTTGATCATTGTTTGAAGCTTTTGAACATTCTTCAGTGTTGAGGCCTTTGGAGGCCATTTGGGTGAACTACGTTCGGCTTGATTCCTTAGGCAAGAGGATACGTAGGTAGTCTTTCGATGCAGCCGGTTTGATTCAGATGGGGAAGATCGTTTCAGCTCACGTTTGGGTTCCCGACTTGTTATGGATTGAGTCCGTTGTCATGGAGTATTTCCACGACGTCCTGGATGCAACAAGTGGGACATTTGGATAATTTGGTGTCGGCTCAGTTTTGGTAGAAACATTTGTCGAGGTGGAGAATTGAAGGAGTGGCGAGAGAAGTTCAGGAAATTAGCAGGAATCATCCAGGCAGACTGGCGATCGATCGCGAGTCAGCGACGGTCGACCGCGAACATGCACAGGAGAGCAGGAGGCTCTGGAGCTAAAAGCGGTCGACCGTGGTGGTCGACCGCGTGGACCCTGTAGGTGATTTAACTCTCGAGAATTGGTTCGGTCGACCGCTGTGGTCGACTGTGGGTTTCCTGTAATCGATTTATTCTCTGTCGGGGGTATTCGGTCAACTACCGTGGTCGACTACAATACCTGCACGATCGACACCACGGTTGAACGCGTAGCGGGTTTGCAGTTGGTTCGGTTATTTGACCCGGTTCGTTTTGGAGCTGATATATAACTCTAATCCTGATTAGTTAGGGTTAAGTAAGGATATTTTTGAGTAGTCTTTGGGAGAGGATTGATGCATCCAATTGTGGAAGATTTGTGAGAGATCTAGAGCTTTGTTTTAGGGTTTGATCGGTGAGATTTGTAACTCTATTTGTATTCTCTTGATTTCTAATAGTAAGTACCCCCCCCCTCCCCTCATTGCCCCGTGGACGTAGGAAACTTGCCGAACCATGTTAAACTCATTGTCTTGCTGTGGTATTGTGTTTGGCTTATTAGTTATGATTTATCTCTTGTTCTTATTCGTGTCGCTTCGAGGCTTCCGTCGCACATAACATGCAATTCACACCATTTCTAAATATAAATTATATTCAGTACAGAATAGCTATCCATGGAGATATGCATAAACATGAATCCATGAGTGTGGGTCTTTGTTCATCTTCTAGCATATACACTTAATTTTATGCGGATTTTATAAGAGTGTGAACCTTCGATCATTTTTTAACGAATACACTCTTACTGTTTATTTATATTTTTGACATAAATTCACATTTGTATATATAAAGATACTTTAGCGCACTAGTCAAGTCAGATTTTCTCAAATCATATGATATAACCTAAAATATCTAAGTAAAAAAAATAAGATTCCACCACCATTTTTCACAACACAAAACATGATTGGCATGAAGTATAGGTGTGCACAATCATACATAGGGTTGGGCGTGAGCCGGGTTGACCCGTAGGCTAACCTAGCACATCATGCCATGGGTCACAATCCGGTCTGGCTCATAGTGGGTGGGGCTCGACCTGCCCCATGATATACCCCGGTCACGGGTCGGGTCGGGTTCATCTCCAGACGCGGGGTCAGAGAAGTAAGCTCGGCCCATGCTGACCCAGCCCACATTCGACACGGCCCAACTTGGCCAGACCTGTCCCGACCCATGATATATTTTGGTTAGTCTAACTATCCCTTTAACCATTTTGGTCTACAGGTAGCTGCCAACAAATCCAAAAGATCATAGGTTTTTGACTTGTAGGCCTTTTGACCTATTAAGAAACATAGCAACGATCTTTAACCTCATTGTTATCTACTTGAAAGATTAAAAAGTTTAATACAAGTTTTAAAATAGTTTAATACAAGTTTAAATTACTAAAAAATAAATTAAAAATGATTATATAATTATAAATACAAGTTTTATATAATTAAAAAGGTAAAAATAGGGGGAAAACCGCACCTAGATGGGCTTTGGGCTGGGCTGGGTCCAATCCCAGACCCGAGATTAATGAAGTAGGCCCAGCCCACTCTGACCCATCTGGACCCGTGTCTGACCCCGCCCGGCCTTGAACCCGGTGGGCCGGGTCACGGGCTAAACAGGCCTAACCCACGCTCACCCCTAATCATACATGAAATGTCTTGTGTAAATAGCGTGTCATGTGACTATGATTTGATGATTTGATCATTGTGTGTAGAGATACATACATATAGACTAAAAAAATGCATGTGAACTTGTGTATCAACTCAAGCCTATATGGCAACGAACATAAATAATCTAAATCAATCTTGTAAATGCATATACATAAGCATGTCCAAGTGAAGAAAGAAAAAATATTTTGTTTTCATATTTTTTTAAAAATGAAAGAAAAATAATATAAATATAAATATAAAAACAAACTAGACAAAAAAAGAAAGAAAAACCAAAAATATGTACATACAATATGAGGGGTTATAAATATATCTTTACTAACCCCTTCGAGAAGTTTTGTTGAAACAATCATTTTATGCAAGTTGTGCCTTGCAATAAATCCTCATTTGCATAATGAGATCCTCTTTGCATGTATCAACAACTTTTCATCTCATTCTTCTTCTTAGTTAGGCTAAGGAATAGATTCTTATCTTCTGAATATGCCTTGAGCAACCAAAACAGATATTGTCTTGCTCCATAACCTTCCTACACACCTACAACAACGTAGTAGGTTTGACCTAAGTAAACACATAAGCCTATATTGGTTAGTAATTATACCTTTAGGTATCCAAATCTGTTAAACTATTCTAACTCTATATTGCATTCGATAATTCATTAAGATATGACCCATTTTACCACATTAAGTACAAATAGTAGAAGATGCATTAGAAATGGGTACAAAAGTG